ACGATCGCGGGTCGACTATGGAAGGCCGAAGACCCGGAAATCAAAGCGTTCTTTATCGGTCTTAGTAAAGTCGCAAAACAGGTTTACGACCAGCTTTTGCTGTGATTAATCTATTCACATGCGGCGGCCTCCAAATGCATTTCTAATATACCGAAAAGAGATCCAAGCGAGACTTACCTCGCAAAAAAATGCGACGGGGTCAACATACAGTTGATCTCGTCGACGTCCACGATCGCGGGTCGACTATGGAAGGCCGAAGACCCGGAAATCAAAGCGTTCTTTATCGGTCTTAGTAAAGTCGCAAAGCAAGTTTACGACCAGCTGTTGCCGTGCAAGCAAAACTGCACGTGCAAAATGAACGTTAGTTATTGAATTCATTTTATTTGTATTTATTTTTTCTACTGATAATTTTTCTACAACAAACAAATTACTAGTTATCGTTTAGAATATTGATAGCCTTTCGGGCTTTTTTTAGTCAATTTTTTGTCTTTCTACTTTTCGAGGATCACGAGTTAACAGTCCGAATCCTTTTAAAGTATTTCGGTATTCAGGAAAACTTCTAAAAGTGCTTTAGTTATTCCCAAGCGAATGGAGTTATAATTGCTCTGTTTATTCGAATTTATAAGGGTCTTGAATTCTCTTTTTTATTAGTAAAATATTTGTAACATTAGTAATCGTGTGAAATAATTAATAAAAGAGCAATCAAACAAAAATTGTGTGCATCGTTTTGTATCGTTTCTACCCACAGTATTTGCCGAGTATTTTTCTCTTTGTTCGAATCGATTATTTTGACCGCATTTAGACGGTTGTAGTCGAATTCTCATTGTCATGATTACAAAGAAAATATTCGGTATTTTTTAAATAGCACCTTGGCAATAAGAATCAAATGTCTGTAGACCAATGGCAGCTTGGAAGCGACGTTTGAAGACATCGTTAATCAACATCCGCAACATCGCCCGATAGTGGCGAGAGATTTTTGCGGCATGATAAGACAAGTGTGTATGCGTACCTGATGGGTAATGCTAATTGATGACACACAATGGTGAATAAGCTGGGAGAAAAGCGGTCCTTAAAAAAAGGGAAGGACGGTTGCACAATGAAGACGCTGCTTATAATGAAAAATATTTTGGTATGAAGTAACATAACTTATAATATCGTACCGGGAGTCAACAACAGAAACAAAACTTGATGCGATGCTGTGACACAAAAACCAATGACATGATAATACAGTGTATTAGCAAAAATTCGCGTAAACTTAAAATTGTGTAAACTTGGTATTGTTTTAATCACAAAAGACGCTCTTTATTCTTCACTAAATAGTGTAATTGCGTTGAAGTCTCCTTTTTTTTAAAAAAAACAAGCTTTCAATTAAAAACCCCGACGAGAAACTATGTTACACTTTTGGAAAAGACATTCACAAGCGACAAAATATCAATGTGGACCATTTATCACAACTTAAAAATTTGGCAATGTAAGCTACAAAAAGAGAGCTGGTCGACCTAAGAAAATTACCCCAATACTAATGTTGCACGGTACATCGGTCCGACTGTACGCGTTCAAACTTGCTGCAAAAGCCGTGGGTATGTCTCATACCACAATAGCAACGCAAAATACATTTAAATGATAATTGGAATAAGACCGTATTCACTGACAAAACAGCTTCAGCTTTTTAGGAATACGGTTGAGAGATGGTGCAGCCTGTATGACGAATTCCAAGAGATCGTACCAAAATATGCGCATGGGATGGTTTTCGATAAAGGGTAAGACCAGTCTTCTAATTATGAATGTTGCGTTTTATGTAGAAATCCTAGAAAGGCACATTGCAGACATCTGTGGACCACTGGCTGCTTTAACAGGATAATGATCCTAAGCACACCAGCCGTCTTTCTTAGTGAAAATGGTCCAAATCTTATGGACTGCCCAGCAAACAGTCCTAAGAAACGCTGAAAAAGAATACCGCAAATTCAGAAAGATCTAACTGATTTTATGAAAGAGGAATGGGATGTTATTCCATAAAGTATTCTAATGAATCTAGTAAAATCGACAAATGCGCAGGTGTAAATAGTTATTGAAAACAGCGGGGAAAGAATACTGTATTAAAATTTTATTAATAAATCTACTGCATTTCAGCTATCGAATGAGATATTGGTTATGTTTATTGCTATTATCGATTGGATTAATTTCGATAGTCCGTAATGACGTCCAAGTAAACGCGTTTGTTATCAGAATATTTAATAATCGTATTTAGATAATTTCTAAATTCGATGGACAAGATCAAATCTACGCAGTAATTTCGGAACTTGTGGTTTACAATACCTGAAGTAGCCCAGTTATTTTAAGGCCCAATAATATAATGATTTATTATACGTAATAGTACAAGTATAAAGAAGGAATGTCTAGATTCAAAGAACGAAGTCCCAAACAAGAGATGGCAACTAGCACAAAAGTTCTGCTTATATAGCGTCTAGTGTTTCGTCTATAATATACGCTAGCATTATATATTTAATATAGTCGTCATTCGCGAAAGCCAAAGTGGTTTGAGTAGCTCGTTAATCTTGAGACCAACTGTTATCCGAATGCAATTGTTGTTACAAAGATTTGGCTTAATTCTACCGTAGAAATGCTAGAAGGAATACATCATTATTATAATGGCGCGTTTGTTGTTCTTGATAAATTCATAATAAACGATTATTTAGATATTCCTGGAGACTTTGTGTATCATGTATTTTTAAAAAATAAGGTCATTGCATCGATCGTCATTATTTTGACCATTTCAGTGTAGCCTGACACCACGAAAAACCGTGCGAGACATCACCTGTCTATATATTGACACATTTACAGACGCGAGTGGTACTGTCGTTCGGGCTGTACGGGTATGAATTTATATGGGCGGAGACTTTTGCTGAGTCTGCTTTCATTAGCTAATTATGCATTCGATGACATCGTTGCGATCCTACTTTACTCCGGTGGCATTGTTATTGAACAAACGCAATGTTGATAAGCGCCACAAAGTGGCTCCGTGCACAACTCGTTCTAATAATAGTAATAAGATAAAGAACGCGGATAAAATCATGGGCGTCACACAGTCCACAGGTTCCCACGTATCGAAAACTATTCTTTGCATGAATGCACTTGCAATCTATTAATCATGACGGCAAGAAGCGCTCAGCAGCTGGCGGAATATGGCTGGCGACATGTTACACACGGTGTCTCTCGCATATCATCACTGGTGATAGAGAGGGCAAGTGGTAGCTGGGTTTACACAGTTGAGGGAAAGAAATATTTGGACTTTACTACTGGCATTGGAGTTGTATCAACTGGTCAGTTGAATTGGATCATTATATAACAACAAGACGTTCTATTCCTTGGTGCGGGAAATTAATGGCTATATTTATATTGTATGTAGGCCATTGTCACCCAAAAGTTGTCAAAGCAGTCCAGGAACAAGCAGCTAATCTACATCATGCTCAAGTAAATACACATCTAAATCTAACATTTATTCTTCGCTAACATCGAGCGATTTATTAATACGATTTTCTGTTTGTGCATAGGTTAATATAGCATTTCACAAGCCGATGCTTGATCTCATTAGCAGACTGAAACCAATAATGCCATCTCCAGAACTCGATTCATTCTTCTTTGCTAATTCTGGTTCTGAAGCGGTTGAAGCAGCCATCAAATTAGCACGATACGCAACGAAGAAGCAAAACGTTATAGTATTTCAAGGCTCATTTCACGGTAGAACTATTGGCGCAATGTCCCTCACAACATCAAAGACCATTTATAAAGTTGGATTCGGTCCGTTGATGGTGAGTTGTTTCAAGAGATCATCATTTTCTTTGAGAACGTTCGACGATCATCATCACATAATTGACAGTCATAAATGAACCTAATTTTAGTCAGGAGTGCATGTTGCGCCATTTCCCTACTGCCTCAGGTGCCCGGCACATAAAGCAGCGCCCGATGTTTATAATAATGCCAATTGCTGTAACAATTCTATCGATCAAGTAGAGCTTCTTCTCAAACAACAAACGGCACCACAAGACACTGCTGCTATTCTAATTGAGCCTGTACTCGGCGAAGGAGGATATGTTCCACCGCCTAAAGGTTTCTTCAAGAAACTACGCGATCTGTGTGATCGCAATGACATCCTACTCATTGCGGATGAAGTACAGTCTGGATTCGGTAGAACAGGAAAGATGTTTGCAATTGAGCACTATGGAGTTGTACCCGATATTCAGGTTATGGCTAAGGGAATTGCTAGTGGATTTCCTTTGAGTGCTATCGTGTCTAAGAAGGAATTAATGGATATCCCAGCACCTGGAAGCATGGTAAAATAGAACGAGTGACCTGACTTTTGCAAGTATTGGAGACATAACTAAATCGAGTCTAACAGGGCGGGACGTATACTGGTAATGCTGTGGCATGTGCTGCCGCTAAAGCGACAATAGAAATATTCGAAGAAGAAAACATAATCGCTAATGTCAATGAAAGGTGATACATCACATGCGATAACAACACTCTGTATATTTTGCTTTTTTTTCTCATAACTTTTTTTATTTCTTCTCAAACATGTAGATCAACGCAAATCTTTTCGCTCTTGAAATCTAAACTCCCGTCATTGATACCGTCATCTATGACGGTGGACATCCGCGGGCTTGGGTTAATGATTGGCGTAGAATTTATTAATGCTCCATCCGGATTTGTAAATGCTATTGTGAAGGATGCTCTCGAGAAGCATCAATTGCTGTTATTAACAACCAGTATTTATGAAACCATAAGATTAGTTCCTCCCCTAAACATAAGTGCCGAAGAAGCTGAAGATGGCGTTAACAGATTTTTAAAATCAGTAGAGAGTGTAGTCGCCAACAAAAAGGGGTAAATATATTTAATAGGCAGCGTTCTATCTAAACGTCGCATAGCAGTTTATGATATACGGCGATAGAAAACGCCCCGAAATAAATGATGCTCGACGCATTATAGCGTTGAAATCAATTAATATTTATTGGTTAAATTAGGGAACGTTTCTCAAGTTAGCCCCAACATTCCAAAGTCA